ATACCTCAAGTCTCTGATATGAAAAATGAGTTTCTAACTGATGTGTTTTCTGAGTCTGAGGTCAGAGCAGCGGTGTTCCAGATGGAACACAATAAGGCACCAGGATCGGATGGCTTTCCACCTGAGTTCTATCAGGTCTTCTGGGATTTAATAAAAGACGATCTAATAGCTCTCTTTATGGAATTTCATGAGGGAACTCTGCCTTTGAATAGTCTCAACTTTGGTACTATAATTCTGTTACCAAAGAAGAAAGATGCGAAAGTCATTCAACAATATAGACCGATCTGTTTGTTGAATGTGTCTTTTAAGATCTTTACCAAAGTTGCGACTAATAGACTATCCACTGTTGCCCAGAAGATCATTAGACCAACACAAACTGCTTTCCTCCTAGGAAGAAACATCATGGAGGGCGCAGTAATTCTCCATGAAACGATTCATGAACTCCACTTGAAAAAGCAAGATGGAATAATCTTTAAAATAGATTTTGAAAAGGCTTATGATAAAGTAAAATGGAACTTTTTACAACAAACCTTAGCGATGAAAGGATTCTCTCAGAAGTGGTGTTCTTGGGTACAGCAGTTTACACAAGGAGAAAATGTAAACATTAAAGTGAATGACCAACTTGGTTCCTATATCCAGACAAAAAAAGGCCTAAGGCAAGGTGACCCAATGTCTCCAATACTATTTAATATAGTAGCAGACATGTTGGCTATACTAATTCCTAGGGCCAAGGAAGCAGGCCAGATAGAAGGGGTCATTCCTCATCTTGTCCAAGATGGTTTGTCTATTCTACAATATGCGGATGACACAGTGATCTTTATGAGCCATGATGTTGAGAAGGCAGTAAACATGAAATTGATACTAAGCACGTTTGAGCAACTTTCGGGGCTCAAAATTAATTTTCATAAAAGCGAAATATTTTGTTTTGGTAAAGCAAAAGAGCATGAGGTTTTCTATGCGCAGTTGTTTGGGTGTGGGGTGGGTAAGTTTCCCTTTCGGTACCTTGGTTTACCTATGCATACTAGGAAACTGAGTAATAAAGATTGGCAGTCAATAGAGAACAGAATTGAAACCCAAGCTTAGTGGATGGAAAGGTAAGATGCTTTCTTTAGGAGGTCGCTTGGTCTTAATAAACTCGGTGCTCTCTAGCTTACCGATGTTTATGATGTCTTTCTTTGAACTCCCAAAAGGAGTATTAGAAAAGATCGACTGCTTTAGATCAAGATTCTACTGGCAAAGCTACCATCACAAGCGAAATACAGGGTGGTTTAGGCATACATAATTTGGATTTACAAAACAAATGCCTGATGAGTAAATGGCTCTTCAAGCTGTTAAATGAGGATGGCATGTGGCAAGAATTATTGAGAAATAAATATATAAAAGATAAAATTATAGGGAGCTGTACCAAAAGGCCCACTGACTCTCACTTCTGGAAAGGACCGATGAATGTAAAAGATAGTTTCATGACTTTTGGTGCATTCAAAGTAAAAGACGGGTCACAAACTCGTTTTTGGATGGACACGTGGTTGGGAAACCAACCATTAAAAGATAAATTTCCCTCGTTGTTCAATATTGTGAGAAGAAAGCATGATTCTGTGGCAACTGTAATTGCATCAATCCAGCTGAACATTTCCTTTCACCGGAATTTAGGGGGTAGAAATCTAAGGGATTGGCATAGAATTGTTGCCTCGTTACAAGATGTGAACTTACAGGGGGAAAGAGATGTGTTTGTTTGGGCATTACATTCATCTGGTACATTTTCTGTTAAATCTATGTATGCTGCACTAATTAACAATAGGGTCAGAGTGTCACAGGATTTATGGCAGATCAAAATTCCTTCAAGAATAAAAATATTCTTGTGGTATTTAAAAAGAGGTGTGATCTTAACCAAGGACAATCTTGCACGACGAAGCTAGAATGGTGATACGAAATGTTGCTTCTGTCACCATCCAGAAACTATTCAACACCTTTTTTTCCAATGTTATTATGCTAAGTTCTTGTGGCGTGCTGTACACTTAATGTTTGGGTTATCACCCCCTCAGTATACATGATTTATTTGTTAATTGGTCTAAGGCGGGTGGTAACAAACATAATTCATTGTTATTAACTGCAGCGTCAGCTTTATGTTGGATAATCTGGTTAACAAGAAACGAAGTAGTTTTTGACAAATGCAGACCAAAAACTTTTTTGCAGGTGTTATTCAGGGGAACCCATTGGCTACGGCAATGGGCAAGGCTGCAGCGACGTAATGATCTACGGGATCAGCTGATTCTTATTGGGCAGCATCTGGAGACATCAGTATTGCACTTCTTTAATTCCAATGGATGGTTATAGACTAGGTTTATTGGTCTTCATTAGTCAGAACTTTACTCCCCACTTTGTTTTCCTAGTGTCTACTTGTAAGCTTGTGATCCCTGTGGGTTGTGTGCTAGTCACTGTACCGAACTTTGTAATAATTGGCCTGATTCTACCCTGAGATAGATGAAGCCGGATATAAACTATCCTTTATCTAAAAAAAATTAATGGTTTATTGAGTTGCAAAGGGAAGAGTAATATAATAACGGTGAATCAATCCAAAAGCTACTTTTACAATGCGGCGCAAAGAAAACTAATAGCTTAGTTGCATTCCTGTTATGAAAGGAAAAATATTCGACGTAAATCCTCTACCTAGTAGAATTGTGAAAAACTTTTAGACAAACATATTTAGGAGTTCTAAAAAAATGAAACTATGCACAACCATAATGCATCTATATATGTACAATTGCTGCAAAATTTGATATTCAAACTCGTTTTGTAAAAAATCATATTATGAAAATAACCAATTCCATGTGCATAGCACTAGAGGACAAAATTCCTAGGAAAGTGCATATGCACCTGGAATTTATCATTTTCATATAATTTTTAGATTAAGTTAGAATCTCAAATTTTGTGACAGTGTATATCCTTAGATGCATTAAGGATGTGCATAGTTTCAATACATCCATAGATGCATTAAGGATGTTCATAGTTTCATTTTTTTTTGAAACTCCTAAGTATATATTTTAAAGGGTTTTCATGATTCCATCGAGTAGAGGGATTTTGTACTGAATATTTCCCATTATAAAAAGCAATGCTTATGATTGTAATTTTAGAGGAATTGACTGGACGAAAATCCAAAGCCATTATTTCAGTGCAATTCCTCCCTTTCCATTTAGCTTCCTCTGCCGCACCTCGTTTTACCTTTCTCTTTTTCTTTGTGAATTGGAAAGTTTATTTAGAATCACGTAGCATCGGTACAAATAAGAGACTGAACAAACTCTAGAAAGGAGGAAAAGAAGATTTGACTACGACTTGAACTAATAGCTAATTGCGCTAACTCATGAGTGTTATTCTTGTTTCTTCCTATCTTGACAACTTCAAGATGACGGAGTCCTTCCATCTTGAGATAAGCTTTACGGATCAGAGACTGTCTTTGCACTTGGTTCTTCAACTTCTCAGCAATTGTAGCACTATCATTTTAACTTTACGGCCATTAACTAAATCATCGAGAGTATTACCATCTCCCGATAACAACACCATATACAAGAAAACAGAGTTCTACCTTTAGAAATGAGAATTCTTCTGCAGTGGTTTTCGAGTGCAAAATATATTACATGTCATGATGGACGGTGATAATGCATTCACATTTTCTACTCAAAGCGTAATTTTCATTAATTTACCACATCTCCCTAGCTTGGGAAGTGATTGATGGGAGTAAACCCTCCTTAACTCATATTATCTCCTTTCTACCGAAGATCTGGCTCTATTAAAACCTGCCTTAAAAAATGGTTTCTGAGCTGTCTCGCCTCTAAAAATCAATTTTTAGAGCCAGCGACCTCTAGAAATCCCCGTTATTTTCAGATGCGGCTAGCAAGCTGAACCGCATCTAAAATTATAGGCTAGGCTTTTTAGAGACCTCTAGAAATGAAGGTATTTCTAGATGTGGTTGACAATTTGACACGTCTCTATAAATATACAGGTCCGGTACATTAAAATTTATAACTTTTCTAATCTAAGTTGGGTGCAGACAAACTTTATAACAAAGTTGTAGTACTCAAAGAGGTCTACAACTTTGTAAATGACGATATTTTGATTTGAATTCATTTGATTCATGAAAAATCTTTTTAAAGTTTTCGGGTCCTCTTCCCTAGTAAGTAAATTAGACCTGCATAAATAATAATGTTCTGGATTTTTTTCTTTCAAAGAAAGAAAAAACACCTCCCCGGCCGTTGCTGCTGCAGAGTTAGGTTGTTCGCCGCGATGGACACACCACACATCTGTACTACTACCTGATACCGTCAGCTGGTTACATATGCGGACGTACCCATCGCTGACGCCTCAGTCCTGTGTTCAGATAGCCCAGACACGCGTACCCATCGCTGATGCTCTTGCCTGCATGCTTGCCTTTGCGAAAATGTGGTGCAAGTGCGACCGAGATTCTTCTTCTGAGGTAACAATACTCCTAGTGCGCAACGCGCAACACGCCAGGACGCTCTGCTACCTAGCAAGCAAGTGGCAGCACGGTTGGTGGTTTGGTCCATGCTGCTCGCATCTCTCTGGAATCCCAATCAATCCCTTACCGCAGCTGCCATGCAACTGCAACCAGCCATCTGAGAGACTGAGACGACTCCACAAAAGCTTCCAAGCATCGCACCTATACTCACCACTGACGAAGACACGCATGGTGATGGATATGAGGCACGGACGCACGCAGCTTATCCGAAGCAATCAGATCGAGATGACCTGAGAGTGAAAGGAACACGTGCGTCGTCGTCCAAGAACTGTGCAGCTGGATATCGCATCACCCAACTCAATAATACAGGATCGCTGGCTGGGCTTGCTGCCGCCTATATAAACGGAGGCCATATCTGTTGCCAAATTGCATCATCACCCATCTCAAGACGACAAACGCGAGCAAACCAAGGAACAGGCCGGACGAGCATCTAACAACCAGTAGTAGCTTATTTAGCAAGAAGACGGAGATGAATCGTTGGGGCAAGAACCCTGCTCCGGCCGGTTGCACCGGTGCCGGTGCCGGTGCCGGTGCTGCAGGTGTCGGGGAGGTGCCGGTGCAGAAGGTGAACAAGATCGAGTTTCACAACCTGATTTCCAGGCCCAGCATCAACGGCGGCGGCGGCCGTCCACCACGAGGGGCGGAAGACGACATCAACGAGAAGGCGGAGAGGTTCATCAGGGAGAGGAGGTTGTGGTTCCACCGCCAGAAGCCCGGCGGGCCGTCGTCGGCCTGATGGCAGCATCGTCGTGATGCAGGCATCATGGTATGTATATGGATGGATGTCAAATTAACGCATATAAGTATTTTAAAGAAGAGTTCACCCCTGTTGCGACCCTATGTATGTGTATTATTTGCTCCGCGGGTCACCAATAAGTGATAAGTGAAACTTTAGATATGCACGTTTGATCCAAGCCAGCAGTTCCTTTCATTTACCATGGTAAATATGTCCGTGTGTTGCAACGAGATATACAACTTTATGTTAGAACTTATATACTTGGACAGGATCTTAATGAACCTAATTACAGGCCTTGTTTGGATGCGTATATATTCGTCTTAATCCACATGTGTTGAAGTGGAATTAAACTAAATTCCATTTTATTCCACTCCAACACATGTGGATTGAGGTGGATACACATGCATCCAAACAAGGCCTAAATCAAAATTAGGACATAATCAATCTTACCCGATTGAAGATGCACCTAGGGCTGCGAGGACCTTCGCCTGGTGGATGCAGGCGCTCTACCGTCGGATGTAGAGTTGCGGTTCTAGGCATCGTCGTTGTAGTGGCAGAGGTGGAGGACGCCGGCACAAGGATGGCCGACGGTTGGACACCGGTCTTCAGATCCACTCCCGAGCCACCTCAATCGGCAGGTGTTAGATATCCCCCTTGATTGGCTTAGAGAGAAGGATAGGATCCATCTCTTTTTTTGTGTGCTCGGGGTGGTCTAGGACCAAGCCATTAGGAAGTCTTAACGTGCCCCCGATCAGGGCATGCATGTTTATGGCCGTTAGGCTCTTAAGACTCGGTCAGAGTTGACCAAGCTGATATTAACTCCAACATTCTCCCCCTTGATCGAATGACTTAGTACTTTTATTATTGTTAGTTCCATTCTCAATAGAATAATATACTAAGATGAAAAATTGTAACAGTAATTTAAGAACCATTAGATCAAGCATCTAAAGTAGACCACTCTACATTAAACAGAACAATTACTTATGCTTTTCAGAGAAAATTTATGGGGAGATAACATTATGTATTTTAAACCACTCTTTCAATATCACAATGCATCAAGATGAAGTGGTTGCAACAGTCAATTAAGTACTGATGAACCCAGTCACTATAGCGCACCGTTCATATCTTAGAATAGTTCATTCTTAGTCTTATATATGATGGCCTCTTTATGGTCCTATTGTGCAGTTTGTTTTCACTTATACCTTTGTGCACATACAGAGAATTATTTGTACTTCTAGAGTCACAATTTTGAGATCTCAATCTTATCCCATATGGTAGGCTACCAATAAACTTAATGTCGGCAACTTAAGGTAGACCTATGGTGGGAAAACTTAAATTGAATATGGTGCTCAAACACTTAAAGCCTTAAACTTACTTAGTGAGCACCAACATCTTAAACTTATATGACTAACTTTGATTCTGGATTGGTTTTTCACATTGTCTTTGGTTTGGCAAAACCACTTGATATGTTACTCAAACCAAAAGAAACTGCACTTCTTATATACAACATATTCCACGATGAATATCTTATGCTATAAGAAACTTATAATTGTAATAACTTTATTCTTAATAAACTATGATAAACTTTAACTTATATTAATTAAACATGCTATAACTTTTTACATTAGAAGTTATACTTTAAAGATAGGTTGAAGCCATTCCACAGTATGGCTTCCCCTGACAAGAGTGTTGATAAATACTTATGTGGATTTCTTTATATCAACACATCTTGCAAAAGAAGATTAATGTCATAGCAACTTATAACTTAGTGGTTACTAGACTTCTTATTCATGGGCATGTAATACTTTATATGTATAAAGCAAGTACTTTAAGTCTTTCCAGGGGTCCATTCCTAGACCATGTTTGCCAAGAATCATGGTCATAAGCTTTAAGGGCATGTGATAACTTAGTCATAATACTTATAGCTTACTTATAATACTTATGACGTAATTGTAATACTTAATTATAATATAATACTTATATGTAATGCTTATGTCAGCATATATCTAACAAGAAAAGCTTATCGCCCTTATATTGGAGTATAACTAGTCTTTCAACTTATGATTTTTTTTTCAAATACTCCCTTTTGTGGACCCATCTTGGTGAATCTTAGTCTTAGTATTCAAATAAGTATAAGAAACATCACCAAGATAAAAGTTATGTTATATCTCTATTGCTTTACTTATAGTCAACAAGATAAATAAAATAATTAACTTTGTACCTCTGCTTAGCTTATCCTATTTCGATTATGAAATCAATGGCAAACAGAAGCCACTAATAAACTTCTTAGTTTATTATGGAGAGCTTATTATCATTTCTCTGTAGAGTCAATTTATGTTATGTGGACCCATAACAGCTCACTCTTTTGACTCCATTAGGAATATCTTAGTATTTTCAAAATAAATGGATGCTAAAAATGGATTAACTTATCACTAACTTATTGGCTTAAATTTTTAATTCAATCGCATTAAACTTAATAAATCACTTAATGAAGTGGATCAATGTAAGACTTTGCATCTCACCTCCTCGAAATGTGAACCAAACAACCATGTCACATGTCAAAGTCTTATATATTAAATCCACTTCATGAGGTTACTTTAACTATAGGTTATCTTAGTGTTCATTATGCACATTTCTTATGAATTTAATCTTAATACACCCTTTAACCAATGTCAGTGAAACTTAATGTGATTGAGCATAAGGATTGCTCCTATCCCCTGATCCTAATAGACATGATTATAAGAGTTAGGAACTTTTGTTTTGCTCCCAAAGTTATTTAACAAAACTTTTATAGTGAGAACTTAAACTTTGCTAATGGGAGCTTAATTATGTGCATAATATTTATACATAACCTCAAAACAAAATTCTTACTTTATAATTTATCAGGGTACAAGAAAACAACTCAAACTTATAGTTGCACTTAGCAATAGAGATACATGATCTTAAATACAAAAGAACTTTAAACTAAATTAAATCTTCAACATGGTATTAATCCTACGCTCATTAGATCAATAACATGTCAACAATATAATTAAAAGAAAATATTATAGTTAAAATAGATGACACTTGAATACAATCAACGTTGGTCAGAAAGTAACTCTGTGCCAAATCTTAAGAATGTGAACAATAGAAAATTATACTTAAGAGCTATGACACATGAATACAGTCAACGTTGGTCCAAAAGCATTTATGTGCCAAATCTCATGTCTCCAACCAAGATTTCTCGTTAGTTCCATCTTAATTAGAGATATCTGTTGTTCAACCAAAACTTCCCATTGGATCCATTTTGATTAAAGAGGAGCAACTTAGTGACCATGAAAGTAAATGATTGAGATTGCAACTTAAGATTAATCAAATGACATGCGACTATAAACAACGTTGGTCAGAATTCAGCCACATGCTACAAAACCAATCATATAAAACTTATTAGGTCTCTAGCAAGTATTAACTTATCGGAGAATAAATTTACCATATGATCAACATATACTTAGTTGCGGGAAGCATAAAAATTAACTTAATTTAATAATGGAGCTATTAAATTTAGTCTTAGATTAATCCCAAAAAGATCTTAAATATTTCTTATGGCCTTCCTTAGGAATGTTCAAAAGCTTTATGTTACATCCAAGAAAAAGCCTTATGGAAACAACTTAGGACAATATAAACAAAATATTAGTGGGCAATAAAATCCTGAAAATTAATAGCTATAAACAACTTTGGTCAAAATATAACTATGAAAGACACTTAAATAAAGCCCCAAACTTAGTTATAAACATTTTAACTATGAAGGAAAAACTAATCATTTAGAGAATAAATAAATACTTAGAATTAGGGAAAAATACTTATTTTTTAATAACTTAAATAGACCATTGTTTAAACTTATTTTAAATAATCCCACATTTAATATGAACTTCAATTTCTCCAACTAAATTTTTCCGTTGGTTCCAACTTAATTGGAGAAAAGATCTTAAAATTATGGCTGGAATAATATATTACACTTAGGCAATAAAACTTATTTATATATACTTATGAAAATGCTTGAAAGAATCCGCTTAATAATTAAACTTAGTATTAGCTTTAACTATAACTTAAACACCAGCATATATATATTTAAAATAAACAACTCTTTGATTAAATTTTCCCGTTGGCTCCAATCTAACCAGAGAATGAATCTTAATTTGCCAGGGTATTAACTTATAAATATTTGCTAATGCTAATAATCTTATTGGAAATTGCATTGATGAAATAAATATAAACTTATTTTGGCCCAACTTAGCTTTTAGCACAGCTAGCAGCCGTGCAGGCCAGTTACCAGCCAACCTGGGCCTGGGCCGGTGAAGCCTGCTTCAGGCCGTTTCTCCCCCGCCGGCCCAGCTAAGGCTGAGATCGATCCGAGCCATCTAGATGAATTCGACGGCTGGCCTCACACATCGGAGGAACAAAATAGGAGAGCACTGACTGCTCCCCCAAACCCTAGCCACTTGTTCTCCCATCCTCTTTTCTCAGACGAGCACAGCCGCCGCATGGGTGCCACACTGGACAAGAGGACGTCGCCGAAGAGATGGGTTGGTGCCACCGCAGGGTGCTTCACCGGAGCTCGCCTGCGACTGTGCACGGCGCCGTCAAATGGCCTCCCGACTGGCTCCCTTTTGGGTGAAGATTGCGCGCGCACGGGCCAAGGAATAGGGCGGTGGCACGGCTTCTTGATGCGCCAGCGGTGATCTACTTGCTGCACCTTAGGGCGGAGACGGCGCGCGCACACAACAGGGGCGGTGGCGTGGCTCCCTTTTGTGGCTGCCGGTGAACTCGCGAAGGAGCCCGGTGGCGCCATCTTAGTCCTTAAGGTAAGTGAAAAGCGTCTTACTCATCTTAGGGTTGGGGATTGTGACCGGATTTGGGGACTTTGCATTTCTAGGGTTCGGATTTGAGAAAAAACTGGGGCTTAGTGTTGAAATTGATTCGATTCCCCTCATTCTTAGTGCTTAACCGAAACCCTATCTTCT